CATTTGTTGGATACCAGAATCATATTTATCGATAGATATTTGATCGCAATACACAAGGAGACCATCCAAGAGTCGACAATTAATCATCATTAATGTTTTAGAGAGATTTCTCCCCAAATGCAGATCAAAATAGTGAGGATTAAGGATTATAACGCTTGCAACTAAATACGGGTATATGTAGCGTGAGGTCTCTTACGAGCAAGCACATCGCATAATCTTTTTTTACTTTTTAGAGAAAAAATTCACCCTGTATCTTTCTCCATCCACAACACACACACACACACACACACACACACAGCACACACACGACACACAGCACACCACACATCACACGACACCACACACACACACAGGGCTCGCGCGCACCGCACGAAACACCGAAAAATTCCCTTCTCTCTGTATCTTTCACCATCGCACACGAACACATCACGCGGCGCCACACCAAAGCGAACCACGCACACACCGCGCGCGCTCACCACCAATGACAATGGACCAATGACTCTCGTCTCCCTCCGTCCGTCTCAAATCACCACCGCGTCTCCTCTCTCTCTCTCTCTCTCTCTCTCTCTCTCTCTCTCTGCGTCCGTCCCTACACCTCCTTCGTCTCTCTCTCTCTCTCTCTCTCTCTCCTCTCTTCTCTCTCTCTTTCCTCTTCTCTCTCTCTCCCTGCTCTCACTCACTCTCTAACACCCACACCCACTCACATACGCGCACGTATTTGGCAATAACGGGTCGCTACCTCCGGATCACCCGGCCTCACCAGCACCCTTAGTTCTGCGGAACACCTAGCGTATTAAACCGCCTCCACTGACGCCCAGCAGCTTTATCTATCCTCCAAGAGACCGCGTGACGAATAATAAAGGACGACATCTAGACAATTGTCGATAGTCTGAACTTTCAGGGAGTCCCGTTATATTTAAACGAATTTCTTGCCCAAAGCTGTTGTGCTAGATGCCTTATAAAACATGTTCTGTTCAACCACAAGGTTCCGTTTTATCAAGATTGTTTCTAGTGTTTTTTTTTACCGCCCACAAAACAATAAACGGTTAGATTCGATTACTATTAACTACAACGGAGCATCGCTACTCAGCTGTTACACGGAGCACATCTTCGCACTCAAATAGATATGTTAGGGCCACACGTTGAAAAAACGTAAGCCTCCCAGACGTAGCATAGTTAGCACACGCTTATAATAGCAGGAGCTTAAACGGTGGGAAGCAATATCATCAAACATATCAGTCGGAATACAATTCCTGTTTATAAAAAATATAAAAAAAAATTATCATTAAATCAAAACCCATCGAGCTGCCTTAGCTCAGGGTCTTTCCCATCTCCGTTGAATAATGCCTACACCTAGCGGAGCAATAAAATAGTAGCGGGTTTGATATGCGATCTTGATCAGTTAACAGGAACTCATTGACAGGAGAGCAAATCATGAGAGCTGTTGGTCTTCTTTGGCTATGTCTGCGCGTAAGCCCTGCCCATGAGAGAGGCAATATCGAACATGATCATTGAACAACCGAGGCTGAGATGTACCAAGCGTTTAAGAGGCGTCATAGGTTAGATTAAGCAAAGAGAAGAAGTGAACGAAGAGGAGGTAAAATAGAAACCGCCGAAATAAATTCGATGCAACATATAGAAGCGTTGGAATTCTTCATAAAACTTGTCGCTTTCTCATTCTACTTAGTAAAGTCCCTCACGATATTTTCAGAGGCGGCCTTGACCAATTTGTTTTGAAGGTGACATCAAGGCTGCAGAGCGCGTGAGATACTTAATGGAGTACGACCAACACGATTTGTAAATTCTAATGCCCAACGCAATCTTTAATATGCCGCTCTGTCGCCTTCTTTTTAAGCGGAGTCAATCCGACTGAAGGCGGTCATCATTGGCGAACTACAGGTGGCCGCAACGCCGCAAAATTAGTACCCGTATGGTGCCTTGATAAACGATTGTGTGAGTATGGTGAAATAATTGATTTGGTTCGATCGTTTTTTTCCCAGTTGTGCCCATTTTTATTAATGCACGCACATTCATTTCACTGCATTGACATTGGGGTTTAATAACGGATGCATGGCTATAAGGTCGACATAACCAATATGTAGCCTATAGCTGGTAGTTAATGCTTGCATAGCTTGTGTTTCCCACCGCGACCTGACGCCTTCCGTGTGGACGATTACCAACAGGCCTTTAAATTATTTTAAAGTTAGAATGTTGTTTCATTATTTGTCTAAGCCGGAATATCCCGTGCGGGATAATCCATCGTATGCGGATCAATGTCAGGTGAGTGGGAAGGCGTGGGGAGAGGTGGTCTGTGACACAACCCTAGTTCATGTGGAACAATTGTAGACAGACTGCGGCAAAATGCAATTGCTAAGGATCAGCACAAAGACTAATAGCCGCCAATATGGTTAGAAGGAGAGTTTGGCAGAGACTAAACGTCACCAAAAACAGACAAATAAATGAATGTGACACATGAGGGACGTTCTGGCACGAACCTTTCGTCAATAGTGATTGATGTAAAAACTTTTCTAGTTTTCCTGCCCGCCAATAAAAAGGTAAGAAGCTTTATTGAAAGGTGGAGGCTAATAGAACCAAGGTAAAAAAATTGCTTAAATGCTATAACCCCACCTAGCTTGGCTCACGATTGGACTTTCCTGGCTTTATTTCAGCCCGCCGTTAATTCACGGCTACTCAGTTGCATGACTGCGCTCCAGTATTGCTGCCTCTGAAAGACGCTAAGAGTGCCGCTTATGCTATTTCCTCAGGGCTACCCAACTCTCGACGCGCATCAATGCAGCCAGTGCGAGTACAACAAGCACACGCTGCATCCGCTGTGCGAGGACTACAGAGACAGGACTACGCTCACATATCACGTAGTTACGGACGCCGTAGTTATTCGCCTAACCCCTGTGTCCCATCTTTATAACCCCCACCTGACAACATCTTCTCCCAGGTAAAAACGAACGGCAAGCGATACTACGATATACGATGCCGGAAAACGTTACAAAGTGGATTTACGTCACGTAAATAGTAAATTATTAAAAAAACATTTCCCAGTCTTTCTACCAATAAAGCTGAGTCTAGTTCAGTTATTTTTTATTGTACCCACAGTTCTCTGCATTATACTTCCATATTTTAGCTATATTGCTTCGATTGTACACCATATTACACTCGGTGACCTCATACATAGCCCATTAGCAAGCCAATTTAATGCTCAGAACATAAGTATCAACGTCAGGTTTTTTTTGGATTTTTAAACTAGTGAGAAAACAATGCTTTATCAGCGCAAGAATTGACGATACGTTTAGTCCCGTTAGCTTTTCTTATGTTATAGTGTTACAAAATGGCAAACAAATTTTTTTACAAATTTTACATAGAAAATTCGTAGACGTAGTCAATTTAACGATTGTGAAACATAATGTCGCTGTAAAGCACTTCGATTGATTTCCTCCTTCGCAGATGTTGGTCGTACGTCGCGAAGGCTCGGTGTAAAGCAAGACATCTCTCTGGGGGACCGGCTCGCTGAGTACAACCAGCACGGCCATACATGAAATGCATGCACTGCTCGCGATTCCATCACACTCAGTGCCCTACTGCACCGCGACTACTACGTCAATATTCTAGCTACGAAAAACAGTATCCAGGTAAGCATCCAAAATCGTACTTTCAGTCCGCCCACAGACGCGCATTAGCTCCTTGTAGCGACCTGACTACAAGTGAATCTGAGCCAGGATATTAACGCGGTGGATGCTTACAACGACTGTAGCTTCCATAGGAGGCAAAGTAGGGTTGCGGAGGCCAGCTTCAACTCACGGATTTTAGGAAAACAATACGCCTAATGATTTTTAATGACCTTAGATTTCTCACATGAACGTGCATAGAGAGATTATCATGCAACTTATTCTATCGGTTTGTTTATTTGTTTATAGATTCAGCGTATAACTTTGACAAATATCGATTGAAACTGTGATCGACCCTGTTATGGCGTTACTTACGACTTAGGACTGCGATCATGCCATTACGACTGACCTACTCCTTCTCTTAAGAACAACGATACGACCATCACCGCAAGACTGATCCTTCCTGCTAACACACCACTGCGGACAGCCTTTCGTTAGCGTGGTTTCAGGCAGTCCGACCTATTGACAAGCTGGAAACTCTATTACAACTGTTATAATAACATGCTGTACGCCGATTTGACATTGTGTCGCGCACAATCCCAAACTGGTGTTACTGACTCAGAAGAATATTGTAATAATCTTCGTTTAAATAATTCACATTCACGACAATTCCTTCGTAATATCTTGGAATTAATCTCTAAGCAGTATTACAATTTTAATATCGAATCCAGTCTATTTAAATGCATCTACGTCCCCGATCTTTATGCCCCCTCGTTAAGTTTTTTGGTTGAAATTTAATCGTGGTCAATATATTAACAAAGTTTTACATGACGATTTCCGATGACATTTCCCACAATCATGCTGGTCTATACTGACTCAGAAGAGTATTGTAATAATCTTCGTTAAATAATCCACATTCGCGACAATTCCTTCGTAATATATTGGTAATTAATCTTTAAGATTATTACATTTTAATAATTAATCCAGTCTATTTAAATCATCGCGAGCTTTATTGCCCTCGTAAAGTTGTTGCTGTGAGAATTAATGGTGTCAATATATTGAATTAAATTTACAGATAGCAGCCAAGTGGATTTGTGTAATATGTTGTATATTGCTTTTAAAAACATACGGCTAGGTAGGGTTGAAATGAAATTCGAGGACTGGGGGGATACTCGCGCTGTAGAGTTAGTGTCATCGTGATCGCGTTTTTCTAGAAAACTGGATTATTGAGTCCGCACGTTCAAGGGAATGCATACTCATCATTCAAAATGTCTTCGCAATATATGCATAGATGCATGGTACTCACTCAAATCATCAGCAGAACCGCCTGGGCCTGGATGGATAAGTATTAATATGTCTTGGCTCTTAACCGTCACTGCTTCCAGTGGCACCAACAAATGCTTAAAAAGATCTCAATCACTTTCTAAAATTTAAAAAGAAGCATCTGTTTTAAAATTTTAGTGTCTAACGAATCGCCGCCGTAATGAAGGGCAGGCATACGATTTGCCCATAAAGGATGACAGGTTAATCTGTGTTAGACCCTAGCTCCACCTTAGCTCTTTGCTATCCCGCTACCATTATCTCTATAGCATAGTGAATGGCGTCCTACGAGCTCGAGTACGTGGAGACCGTGCGTACGATACGATGACTCCACAAAAGCCACCAGAATAGAATTGAGATAAAAATTCTGCGAAGCATATTAAAACCGCAGAAACAATAGCCGGCACAGAGCCGCTCACTAAAGTTGTCAGATAACCAAAGCGATTCGTTGCCAGCGGAAGTACCTGCGTCGCTGTCAAGGACCGCAGCTGCTCATCATATTAAGCCGGCGTTCACACGTAGCAAGAAATCGGGTATTTAGCGTTTCAACGAGGCCAAAATGCGCGTCAAGAAAATACGGTATCTAAACAAATCGGTATTGATGTAAGATACGCGGCTTCCCAGATCCCGAAGTATTTGCCGCTGCTTCGATAAATACCGGATTTTTTGGACCCCGCATCTGTCCTCGTGTGAACGCTAAAGTACCGGATTTGCTGAAGCCCGCGTATTTTATAGACGTGCGTCGCGTCGACAGTTCCAGGTTAACGCGAGTGCGAACTTCACTGCGAGCGCGACCAGTTCTACGTATTTATCGGCAGTTGGTCGCATTGCATCATGTTTATTTCACATTTTGTCTCGGCTTGATTGTTTTAAGCAGCTCGCCCAGGTCGCAAATACCGCTTATTTCTGAGCGCGAAGTCAGGCGCTTGTGGAAAACTGTGATACGCTCGCCGCGTATTTGCTCTCAGCATCGGTGATGGTCGCAAAATACCGTATTCATAAAGACGCACGGTCTCGGTGAAGGATTCTACGTGTCTAGGTCTTCGGGGAGGAGCCCGCGCAGCCTTATCGACATAACGCGAACGCCTTCTGCCAGGATAGCTGCATGCTGTGCATCTGTTCAAGACACAGTTCCGCGTAACGAAACCCTAGCATGCAGAACGCTTTAACATTTACTAGAAAAGTAAGAGGCTGCTACGAGGATGGTAGTCTCTCGGATTGTGCTCCTTGTTGCTTAGGGGAAAGTAAACATTTCTGCTCGTTACATATTAGACGACAACAACGACCGAATTAATACTGTACAGCGATAATTAATTTTAAACGTGACAATGCCATTTCTCATTGCCAGCAGTTTATACGTTTTATATTAGAAGTCGGCAAGTATACGAATTGAGAATTATAATACTTCCTCTCGAGAAACATCATTGCAATGGAGACGTAAATCTCTTTCAACACAAACTAGTTCTGCTGATAAATAGTTTCGGTTGAAAACATTCAGCGGAGAATGCAAAGACGCGCGACTCGTTGGTTTTGCGCCAAAAAGTAAGGCTTTCACTGGTTTCTTAGACCCGACATCCTATGACATGGTTGTGAGAAAGGCTCCAGATCTCTTATATTTTAAAATGTGTTATCTGGAGACGCGCACTATTAATTTCATGTTGATGATTCTGTTCCGTGTGAACTCATATTTAATCCAGATTAGTGTGAATCTAAAAGTGCTAACGCAACCAAACAATTAGGATATTAAATATGCATGAGTGATATCTCATGGTTCACTTTCCCACCCCATCCTCCATCGCCAATCTAGAGTTCATGTACTTCCGTCTGCGTGATTTTTGCTATGGCGAACGTGCTGCCACCTGGTATGACCACCCCTCAGTCTACCTTTATGAGCCTCACAATTATAAAAGAGCAGATATTTTATTGGCATTTTCGCGCATGTCTTGTTGAATGGTTGCTCATTCGGATATAGATGCACAAGGAGGTTTTCGGAAACAAGCAAGTTTAACAAAAGAATTCATTTGGTTGATATCAAGTAATTCATATTATTCGATAGCATATTTGATTCGCATACAACAGGCAGCCATCAAAGATCGGGGACAATTGGGAATCTATTAATGTTCAGAAGAGATTTCTCCCAATCAATCAATACTATGAAGATTCATAACAGCCTTGCACTAATACCGGTATACTGTAGTGCGTTGAGTGTCTTCTTACGAGCAGTACATCGCATAATTTTTTTAACTTTCCAGAGAAAAATTTACCCTGTATCTTTCTCTCCATCAGCATCACACGATCACACATCACACACACACCACACACACACACACACACACACCCACACACACACACACACACACAGGCGCGCGCGCACGCACGAACAGCCGCAAAAATTCCCCTTCTCTCCTGTACTTTCACATCGCACACGAAACAACGCCGACGGCGCGCACAACAAACGACACCAACGCACACGGACGCGCGCGGCGCGTAACAACACAATGACAATGCAATGACTCTCTCTCCCTCCGTCCGTCTCTACACCCACCTTCTCTCTCTCTCTCTCTCTCTCTCTCATCGTCCGTCCCTACACCCTCCCTCTCTCTCTCTCTCTCTCTCTCTCTCTCTCTCTCTCTTCGTCCGTCCCTACACCCTCCTTCTCTCTCTCTCCCTGTCTCACTCACTCTCTAACACCCACACCCACTCACACACGCGCACGTATTTGACAATAAACGTGTTTGCGAACACTAGCGTATATACCCGCTCACTGACGCAGCAGTTTACTTCCTTCAAGCGTTACGAATAATAAAGACGATCATCTAGACATTGTCGATAGTCTAACTTTCAGAGAGCGTTAATTAACCGATTTCTTGCAAAGCTGTTGTGCTAGATGCTATAAAACCTGTTCTGTTCACTTTCCTTTTCACACCACAAGGTTCGTTATCCAAGATTATTTCTATGTCATCTTTTACCTCACAAAACTAATAACGGTTAGATTCGATTACTATTAATCTACAACGGAGCTTCGCTACTCAGCTGTTACACTGAACAACATTCTCACACTCAATATAAATTAAGGCACACGTAAACAACGTAGGTGTTGCTTACGTTGAAGGAATTTAAGCCGCCCAGACGTAGCAATATAGCAACTGTTATAATAGAGGAGCTTAATAACGGGGAAAGCAATATCATCGAAACATATCATCGAACAAATTCTGTTATCCCCATGCAGCTGCTTAGCTCAGGGTCTTTCCCATCTCCGTGTGATGATGTACACACAAGTGAATCTCATCGCTATCATTCCCCTATTAATGTGCTTACGATCCAAATATATAGCGGAGCAATAAATAGAGCGGGTTGATAGCGATCTGATCAGTTAACAGGAACTCATTGACAGGAGAGCAATCATGAGAACTGTGGTCTTCTTGCTATGTCTGGGCGTAGCCCTGGCCCACGAGAGAGGCAATATCGAACATATCATTGAGATCAACCGAGGTGAGTATGTTACCAAGCGTTTAAGAGGCGTCATAGTTAGATAGAAAGAGAAGTGGAACGAAGAGGAGTAAAATAGAAACGCGAAATAAATTCGATGGAACATATAGAAGCGTTGGAATCTTCATAAACTTATCGCTTTCTCATTCTACTTGTAAAGTTCCTGACGTGATATTTTTCAGAGGCCGGCCATGACAATCTGTTTGAAGGTGACATCAAGGTTGCAGAGGTGAGTATACTGAATTATTACGACTCAACACGATTTGTAGAATGTCCATGCCAACGCAATCTTCAATATCGCGCTGTCGCTTCTTTTAAGGGTGTCAATCCACGAGGCGGTGTCATTGGCGAATACTACAGGTGGCCGAACGCAATAGTACCGTATGTGCTTGATAACGACTTGTGTGAGTATGTTGAAATAATTGATTTGGTTCGACTCGTTGTTTTCCCAGTTGTGCCCATTTTTATTTTAATGCACGCACATTCATTTCACTTCATTGACATTTGTTTAACAACGGATGCATGTAAGGGACATAACCAATATGTAGCTTATAGCTGGTAGCTAATCTTGATACTTGTGTTTCCCACCGGACCTGACGCCGTGTGGACATTCCAACAGGCTTTAATTATTAAAGTTATAATGTTGTTTCATTATTTTGTAGCGAATATTTGGTGCGCGGATAATCCAGTGTATGCGGAGGACTGTCCGGAGCAGGCATCGTGGGGAGGGTGTGACAACAACCCTGGTTTCATGTGGAACAATTGTAGAAAGACCTGCGACAAATGCGATTGTAAGTATCAGCACAAATACTAATAGAGCCAAACGGTTAGAAGGAGGGTTTGGCAGAGAGTAAACGTCCTAAAAAAAGTCAAATAAAATGAATGTGACACATGAGGAAGTTCTGGGCGAACCTTTGTCAATTAGTGTTGATGTGAAAACCTTTCTAGTTTATCCTGCGCAATAAAAAGGAAGAAACTTTATTGAAAGGTGAGGCTAATAGAACCGGGTAAAAATTTCTAAAATGATATACCCCACCTACTTGGTTCACGATTGACTTCTCTTCTTTATTTCAGCCCGCCGTTAATTTACGCTACTCTGTTGCATGATCTGCGCTACAGTATTTGTGCCTCTGAAATACGTAAGAGGTGCCGTTATGCTATTTCCTTCAGGGTACCCAACTCTCGACGCGATCAATGAAGCCATTGCCGAGTACAACGAGCACACGTGCATCCGCTGGGTGCCGAGGACTACAGAGACAGACTACGCTCACATATCACGTCGTTACGGCGGGTATGTGTAGGTTCCTACCCCGTGTCCATCTTATAACGCGATGACAACATATCTTTTCAGTAAAACGAACCGCAAGCGATACGTACTACGATATACGATGCGAAAACGGTTAAAGTGATTACGTCACCGTAAATAGTACAAATTAAAAAAATATTTCCAGTTTTTCACGAAAATATAAGTGATTCTGTTCACTTTTTATGGTTAAATTGCTGCATTATACTTTCTATTATACTATATTGTTCGATGTGAACATACACTCGTGACTCATACATAGCTTATAGCAAGCAATTAATGTCAGGAACATAATATCAAATCGTCCAGGTTTTTTGGATTTTTAACTAGTTG